TGCAAGCACAACAGGATGACACGATCGTACTGCTATGACTACGAAGTCCGCTTCCTCTGCTGCCCTGCCAATGTGCCCATCTGTACTGCTACAAGTAGGTGACAGAATATACTGAATTCTAGTTACCATCCCTCTGTGAAGTTTGATTTTACTATAATATCTGTGTTTCCGTATACTGTGTCTTCATGTGCTTCTGCCTTAAAAATGGAGATATTGTTTTGGTATGGTTATGTGTGCTCGTGTGTCTGTCTGTGTTTCCACATCGCCCTTAGGTTAGGTTGTAATGGATATGGTTACAAAGAAGACTTGTAGACACCATGGTTGATGAGAAGAGGATACAGTCAGCATCACACAAGACCTGGATATTTCATGGAGGTCTGAGATCTCCGAATTCCTCGAATCTCCAAGTCCTTCCCTCTAGGATTGAAATGATTCTCATTCTTGTTTTACTCTACAGCAACCACGCTGACACCTCCTCAGACTACCGTGCCTGAGAAGACAGTACCTGAAACAACCGTTCCAGAGAAGACAATCCCAGAGACAACCTATCCAGAAAAGACCACCCCAGAGGTGACCTACCCAGAGACAACAGGAACAACAACTGTTACTGTGACAATGAGGAAGGGTACCACTCCAGGTGAAACATATATCTCTGACCACAGGCAACAGCGATTGAGAGATGTTTTGTTTTAAATTTTATCAAAATGTATTGTTACGCTATCTGTCATACCAGATTCAACTGTAGCAGAGAGTCTGGCTGTTATGTGACGTAGATGTACTATTCTGTTACTACTAATTATAATAGATGATGATGCTTTTGGCACAATGGAATTCACAATTTTCCGTTTGTCTAATCATAGCAAAAACCACCACGACCACCTACATTCCACCATGCTGCCCTGGTGTTACGGACCTGTCCAAGTGCCCAGTCTGCGCTGAGGGTCAGGTGTGCGATGGAACACGCTGCATGGACATCAGTGAATGCCCGTGCAGGGATGGAGATGTCATGAAGAAGGTGAGTGTGTTGTAAGGACGTTAAGTGAGATATCTAAAGTTCGGTAAAGTCCAAAGGTAGGGTTTAAAAAATTGCTGCGGAGATGTGCCAGGGTTTGTTAATTTGTTTATTCATTGTTTTGCACTTACAAATAAAATAAAATAAAATAAAATAAAACAAAACAAAACAAAATAAAATAAAATAAAATAAAATGGAACAATTGAAAAATAACTAGAAATACATGGGAGAGCGGGAATTCTGGTGGTTTAACTTTGGCCCTCCGCAATAAAGATAAATTACCAGGGTGTCTGCACGGGATGATGACAACTCGATATGGACTGATCATTCATGTAAATATAAACTGCAAAGTCGAAGTATGTTTTGAATTTGTTAAGAAAAAACAGAAACCATTTGAAAAACTGGCACGAGTTTGATGCCTTCCGTGCAGGTTCATGCGCGCGAACTTACTATAAAGAACATGGTTGGCCCCCTGCTGTTCAGAATTTCAAGGAAATACCTAGAATATGCTGATTTCAGTGTTAAATGCATGTTATTATGCTGTAAGTGGATTTATCTTACTGATTACATTGTGATACGTTTGCCATTAGGCTTCCTCTGTGTGGAAGGAAGACGGTGGCTGCACAACGTGCATGTGTCTGAATGGTGAAGTGGACTGTGTGAAGACAACATGTCCAGAACTGTCTTGCAAGGAGGTGAGGTCACAGTTTCTGCTTTGAGTGCCTTCTCCATTGAACCGTCTCTTATTTACCTAAATTTCACTCTTTTTGATGGATGTCATAAGATTATGCAATGTAGGAGACGAGCATTAATAGACAATGTTTTCTTTATTCTGTGCTCGCGCATTGAGTCAGTTAGTCAAGCCTGCCTATTGGTTACGTTTGGGGTTTCTGACTCAGGAGAAAAGATGCTACTGCAGTGAGCGTTTACTTAGTTGAGTGAAAGAAAAGACTTTAATGACATAATATGATTACACTCTACAATAGGGAGAAGAGGCAATCAAGGCTGAAGGCGAATGTTGCCCATCATGCAAGCCAACCACCTGCTCCCCGACTGAGGTGACATGCCCTGCCGATGGAAAGTGCATCCCACACAAGTGGTGGTGCGACGGAACTCCGGACTGCAGCAAGGGCGAAGACGAGAAGGACTGCACAAGTAACACCATATTCTTGTTTGCGTGTCAATTCAGTTCCGGTTACTTTCTCACAAACTGTATAATAGATGGCTAAAATCGTCTTGTATCTGACATTTCCTTGCACATTTTACATAGAGAAAATTAAAAAAAGTTTTTCCTGCACATTTTACAGAGACAACACCACCTCCAACAACAACTATGGTTCGCACTACTCGACCAACAACAACCAGCGCTGTAACAACAACGCCAGGTAGTGTATCATAGTCCAGTTTTGTAGCACTTTGCTAGTTAATGGTATTACAGAGAGTTTGTAAGTTTTTATGTATACGTTTTCGTAATTTTGTTGCTTTGTTGTGTTTCCAGCTGAGCGTGCCTGTATGTACAACAACCAACGGTACTCCCCAGGTGAAGAGAGGTCATGTGGTGTCAGTGACTGCGAGAAGTGGTGTGTACCTGATTTGTGTATTTTGAAAGCTATTAGCAGTGTCTGACGTAAATGTATGACAAGTCAAGTCAAGTCAATCTTTATTGCACAACAATTGTAACGGGTACAATGCATGGCAAACTCTTCAGTACTATATATCTAGCTAACATCAACTCTCACGTCTACAGTGATACCTACAAGATCTATGTATCGAAAATAGCATGTATGAGTCTTTCTGAATAGCTCAACCATTAGAAAACCTTAATTATGATGTACCAACAGACATTAATCGTCTTGAAACTTTGTCTTGTTATAACTAAACTTAAATTCATGTCATTTCTGCAGTGTGTGCACAGATGACTACACGTGGGAATGCAACAAGGAACTTTGCAAGAGCGGTAATGTTCCTTACTATTTTGCTTCCTGTAGCTTATATTTGTCTACCACACCACGATTGCAACTGAATCATGCTGTCAAGTTTATTAATTTTGAATATAATAGTATTAAGGGTTTGAATCCAAAAAGGCATTATGATAGATGAGCATTTCTGTATTAGAATGTTTTCAGACCATATTTTGATTCTAAAATGTACAATGTCATCTGTTCTAAAGTAATCTGCAGTTGCATAGAAAATTACAGTTGAAACATTGCATATTCACTAATTTCTGTTCCACTAATTTCTGTTCCACTTTTTGCTCACAGCTACTTGTGTAAACCTAAACGAGGGCTTTGAGACCTTTGATGGTTGTACCTACAACTATGAAGTCTGCAGCCACTTCCTGGCCAAGGACTGTGCTGAGGGAAGCTTCGAAGTTCGCGGTTAGTATCTTACATTTATCAATCAATCAATCAGTCAATCAATCAATTGTCTGCAGACATCAGGAGCTAATGCATGGCGGCTACAGACATGCACAGGTCCCGCCAGGTCCATCTGTTCTCGGGGCAGACCCTCCAGTCTGTTACCGACTATAAAATGCCATAGTGGTTTGTTTCTAAACTGTTTTAGTATGATATTCATACTTCTCAAAGTTCGAATGGTGCAGGTGAAATTTGTGTGGTGCATGTAATTTTCACCGTTACCTGCACAGAAAAATCTCGAGCTGTAATCAGTACTCTGATACCTGAACTCTATCTGATCAATTGTTCCAAAGCATCTCATAAACCATTCATTCTACTAAATACGTATTTTTTTTACTGTTGTTTACAGTGAACCGCCAGTGTGAACCAAGCGGTGATAGGCAGTCCTGTCGCCGTTGGCTGGAGGTGAACATCGGCAAACATCAGTTTGTCCTCCGTGGTCGCGGCGAGAGCATCGTCTACTGCGGACGGGAGTACAGCCCCGCCCAGATCTCTGTCCTGAACTGGTCTATACCGGATCTGGAGATCGCCTGTCTGAACGGACAGATTTCTATCACATCCAAGAAGGGCTTCAGGTGAAAACTTTTCCGATTATTTCACTCACCAAAAATCATGTGTTGTAAATGATATAAGTCAGATTCCGAAGTACATGTAGTCGTACGTGATATTGACACTTAAAGACCTGGTCCTTACTGATACATTTGATTAATTGTATGACAAACAAAATGTTATCTACTGATGTGCAACATGTAACGCATTATAATTCCGGACAAACACTTAAAATCCGGAAAACCACGATAATATAAAATCTATTTTAACCAAGTTGTATTGAAGGACAATGAACATGCAGCTAGGTTGCAATTAGCAATTAGAGATCTCCAGGAAGAAAGCCAATTCTGCAGAATTCTGTAGAATTCTGGGAATTTGAGGCAGAATTCTGGGAACTTCAGTCAGAATTCTACATTCTACGATGTATACCTCTACAAAGTACGAGTAAGTATAGTTATTTACTTGGATTCTACTTGTTGAGCAAAGATAAAGCTCCTGTCAGAAAGTAAAATCGATATGAATTTTGTACAGCGTCTACTGGTGCGAACCCGAGGCCCGCGTTGTTGTGGACCAGAGGATGAGGGACAAGACCTGTGGTCTGTGCGGTGTCTACAACGAACGCACTTCTGACGACCTGATGACCAAGACAAGGCAGATAACCACTAATGTGGAAAGGTAAACTACAAACTTGCATGTACGGCATAATTCTACAAATTTCACCTTTGGACACCCTACTATTTTATAGATCGGAGTTATCATTTTGCACAATTTCATACTTTCACCTTTGGGCATCATACTGTTTTGTAGATAATTATCATAATTATATACTTTCATCTTTGTACATCTTTACCATTTTGTAAATTGGAGTTATTATTTTGCACAATAGTTTTTAAAATCCACCTTTGAACAACCTACTGATTTGTAGATTGGAGTTATGATTTTGCATACTAAGTTTATACTTTCAATACAATAGTTTTAAAAATTCACCTTTGAAGAACTTACGGTTCAGTGCATTGGAGTTATTTTGCATAATTTTATATTTTCACCTTTCGGCATCTTACTATTTTGTAGATTGGCGTTTTCAGTTTGTACAATGATATTATACTTTAAAATTTAGACACCTTACTGTTTTGTAGAGTTCGTACTCAATGGTGACCTCATGTTGTGTTCCTTCCATTGCCAGATTCGGCTCCTCATGGGTGGCCAGTACTGACAGGACATGTGAACCTCCACCAGAGAGGACTTGTCTCAGCAATCCTCAGTATGCAAGCCAGGCAGAGGCAGCTTGCAAGATCCTCATGAATCAGTACGTTTTTTATCCGTGTGCAAGGGTCTTGTCTGTTATAGTTTGGAAACAAAAACTTTGTAGTTATGCAAGGGGGGTATGTACATTGTCACCTAATGCTATTAGGGTATATAGGTAATGCTTTGCCAAAAAGGCTCTCAAATTATTATGTTAAAGTTTGCACTATCAACCCGCAAGATTCTGACTGTTTTTCTACATTGTGGCATCGATATGTTATGTTCATTTGAGAAAAATTCGTCTAGCCAATAGCTATTTTGGTATTATAATTAATTAAGAACATAAAATGATAAAAAAATATCTAATGATGAAGGATCGACACCCAGGTGATGAGATACACATGGAAATTGTTACTTAGCAACTGGATAGGTTTTGCAAACCGTCAGACGTTTCAAGTAGCTTTTCATCAGTGACGATACAAAATATGCTTTTTCCCTTCCGTAGGTACAGCGTGTTCGCCCCCTGCCACAGCACCGTGACACCTGACATGTACTACCAGCAGTGTCTGGAGTCGGTGTGTACCTGCTGCGAGGAAGGCAACACAGTCGACGAATGCTCGTGTCACGTGTTTGAGTCATATGCCCGCACATGTGGCCTCAGCGGCTGTGTCCTGAACTGGAGATCACCAGTCCGCTGCCGTAAGTCGATATCTTTTTTTAAGAAAACTGGTAGAAAGAAACAAAGCAAGAATTTTTGTTAGAGTATATCAAACTTTCAAACTGTCTTATCATAAACTTGTTGCTTATCATTCGATAACTGAAGACATTTGACATCGTCATTAGGTTTTCCAGATTCGGAAGAATCTAACAGTCTGTTAGGAAAACATACACTACCCATTAGTTACTGTCAGTAATACTACCTGATTACCATGTGACCATTTCATAAATGGAATTGTCTAGAGGTCACTCTCATCTTGTAGTGTATCTGCCAACATTTCTAAAAGGGTTATCAAAGCTAGATACAAATTTGCACCTTCAGCCTAAAGTGAGGAAAATTTCTGTAAAGTGCGTTTCCAAAGGGCACAACATCGAGACATGTCGGTCTATTCGAACCCAGCACCTATGGATCTTGAACAAACACCCGGCCATTACGACGACACACGATCCTACCATACCCAACCCCCAACCATGAATATATTATGCCACACGATGTGTATGATTGTGTAACCTTGTTTTTATGTTCCTCCTTGCAGCGATCACCTGTCCATACCCACAAGTGTACAAGGAATGTGTGCCTGGCTGCCCACGTACCTGTGACAACATGTATGACGACCACGTCTCCTGTGACATCCAGTGCACGTCAGGATGCTTCTGTCCAGACGACATGGTGCTGCGCGGAGGAATCTGCGTCAAACCAGAGCAGTGCACAGACTGTACGTCATCTCTATGTCTTTTTGTTTCACATGAGAAACTATGCACAAATAGCATTACAGAGAGACTTAAGTATCCTCTTTATCCTTTGTAAGACGTAAGGCCATGACTTTTTCTTTCTATCTGGGTCCATCCTTGGCCACCTTCTGTATACTGATCGACAGGATAATCCAATGGACGACGGATCATCCGTCTGCTTCTTTTTATTTTCCTGGCATGTCTCCAATTCAAAGCTGTTTATGGTACTCTTGTACCATCCATGCTTAGTACACGACCAAGCCGTTTCAGTCTTCTATTGGTAATTTTGGTAATTGGTGAATACTAGTAGTCTTCTAAAAGCAGTATGTTCTTCGTTGTAGTTGCCAAAGAGCATTACCTTTATACATATTCGATTCGATTCGATACAGCAATTTAACATGTGCCATAATGTGTCTTGTTATATTGTTTTCTTATTACATTCAATCTTCAAGTGACTCACTGAAGCATTCACTCATTTTGCAGGTTTCTGCTTCGGATTTGGTGACCCTCACTACGTCACCTTTGACGGCGTGTACTACCCGTACCAGGGTAACTGCTCATACGTTGCAGCCTGCACACCGGAGTTCGAGATTATTGTGGACAACGAGATCTGCCGTATGGCTCCTGACACATCATGTACCAAGGCTATCACTGTCAAGTATGGTGGCATCGAGATTACAATGATGGATGGAATTAGGGTGAGCATGTGTTTAATTAGAATGGCTTTTTATCTTCTTTCACGACCAAAAGACCTCACCTGGACTTTAATACTGAAAGATAGATCTAACCAAAGTAATTGGTAAAATAAAGTATGATGTATTAAACGCAAATTAAAATGTAGGCAATTAAACGTCTCTAGGATTCTGCAGAATTGGCTTTGTCCATGGAGATGTCAGATTAGCAGCTACATATCCATCACTCTTTAGTACATCATGCTTACAAATATTAACTCGTTTTGTTATTATCTGTTTCAAAATTCGAAGGGCTTTCCGGAGTTATGAAGTGTCTGTAATTATACTGTGGCCAGCTAACCATGATTTTCCAACACACTCCATAACACCTTCAACTTTATAAAAACAGTTATGCCTAGAGTGAATGTTTTAATTGCTGACTTCCCAAATGACCTGCACAGCTGAATGTGAATGGAGTGCCCACAACCCTGCCGTACGAGCTGAAGGGCATGCGCGTGATGCCGGCTGGCTGGCAGCTCATCCTCACCATCGATGAGTTCAACCTGGAGGTGAGGTACGACGAGATGAACCACGGCTTCGTCATCATGATGCCACAGACCACGTACAAGGACAGGACCAAGGGATTGTGTGGTAAGAAACATGAAGTACTACTGTAACAGTAACTGTAACATGTAAATCAAGGAATTATATCTTACAGGACTACAAACAAGTGATTTTGAATCATGCCTTAAGATTACAGGCTACCATTGAAAATCAAATCTAGTAACTTTGTTGGTAACCCTGAGTTGGTATATCTTGTAAACGCTTCTGAGTCTGTGTATCTAATGTGCCCAAACCATAAGGACCACTAGTACAATAACTACTCTCTCAGGTTTTGTTTTGTTTTGTTTCAATTGTTTAAAAGGCTTTCTATTCTACCACAGGTACTTGCAACAATGACCCACGGGATGAGTTCAAGAAGAGGAATGGTGAGATTGCCACCAGTGAAGTCAAGTTTGCGTACGACTGGCGTGTTGCCCCCGCACCGGGAGAGAAATGTTGGGAGCCGCCGCAGGTCACCGTGCCGACTGCGGAGCCTGGGTGTGCCCAGGACAGCGTCTGCGACGTCCTGCTGACGGACATCTTCAAGGTAATGTCTAGGAAAATTAATGCTGGGTTTCCTATTATGGTCCTGAAAAAATAGTATCAGTAGGAAGGGATTCACTCTTTTTCATTTTATTTTTTACATTTCGGCCAAAGTGATCCAACAAATACAAATACAAACTGAAATGCATTAGTTCACTGATATTTGGCCTTGAACCGAAACGTTAAGACCAGTTCTGATTCAGTCCAGTGTACCGGTACGCACCACTATGTCTGGCGGTATGTCGCACCACTAGACCAGTTCTGATTCGGTCCAGTGTACCGGTACGCACCACTATGTCTGGTTGATGTATGCTCTCGACAGCAATGGACCACCCACCAAAAATGCTAAGGCAACCGGAAACACAACATTTTTCGTAGGCCTAATGCTTAATTGGATGGAGGATTCAATGTATTAGACGTGGAATAAATACATTAAAACAAATAGATTTTTCCTGTACTTTTCCAATCAAGCACACTTGTCTGCAATGAAGGTTTTAAGCTTTTAAAAACATGTGAAATTAAAAATGATAAATATGCACTGCGCACCTGTGACAGGACTGTCATCCAGTGATCCCAGTGGAGAGCTACTACCTGTCTTGCAAGTTTGACGTCTGTCACGGCACCGACAAGTGTAACTCCCTGACGGCCTACGGACAGGTTTGCTCGCGCAAGGGCGTGTGCATGGACTGGCGTTCAGACTCCCTCTGCCGTATGTACCGCATACACGTATCTTGATTTCCGAAAATAATTTCATCTGATTAGTAAACATTTTATTAGCTTTCTGTGAAGGTCAATTTGTCTGAGAATTGAAATTCTCATTGTGTTCATCACTATTGATGATCTGTTACTGTAGCACTTTTGAACTGGTAAACTTAGATGGCGCACCACCAAATATAAGTATAACTACTATTCCTCTCTCTCCACAGCATCCAACTGTGTCTATCCAAAGACATACAAGATGTGCGGCCCTGCCATCCCACGTACCTGTGAGAACTACAACAACTATGACTCTATCATGGCCTCCTGCACCCAGCTGCCGGCCGAGGGCTGCTTCTGTCCCGAGGGCACTGTCTGGAGCAACAACAACTGCGTTGCAGTTTCTGAATGCCGTAAATATTTTTTTTAATTAATCTACATTGTATGTACACAACTCTCCAAGGGTTAGACTTATTTTGAGGCCTTTATTTAGGCGTTTATATTATGATAGGCTTTCCTTTATGTACTGGTGGGCGTATTGGACCCTGCCTGGCAAATTTGATCCTGCCTGGCCAATTTGCGTGCGCACTGTCTTGCCAATTCGATACTGTCTTGATAATTTGATACTGTCTTGCCAATTCGATATTCGATTCGGCTGCCATCAAAAGATCTGCTTGGAAATTAATGCATACCACAGCCATGTATGTTTGAGTCATGCATGTATTAATAATAATACATTGTACTGCTGGAAGATGGTGGACCGAGGCTACCAAGCTATTTATATATTTAATTATCATTGGTATGTAGCATGGAATACTCGTATCTCCCCTGAAGGAGGAATGATATGCATGATTCTTGATTGTCTCAGAAAGGCAAACATCAAAGTTTATTAGTTTTGACTTCATTTCTCTGACATTCTTTTTCGGGGCACAGTTTAACAAAAGTTTAACGTTGTTGTATTTCTTGCAGCTGTTTGCACTGATGACACTGGAGCTGGACGCAAGGTATGGCCAAAGTGTATTTACTTCATGCAACGTTTTTTTCATATTTGCCCGCCGTAATCTGTAGTAATGCATAGTTAAGCATGTGTTTATCTACCTAAAGTAATATTCTCACAAAAGAATCAAAGACGTTTGTGGCATGATTGTGCAATATTTTTGTAGTGACAAATAAGCAATGTTCCTGCTTCTGTATAAAAGAGGAAAATTTCTTCCAACACATTATCAAGAAATGCCAAGTCTGAAGTCATACACTTAGTTTTCTTCTCTGCCTCTTCCTTGAAGATTGGAGACAGTTGGGTGCCACATAGCTCCCCATGCTCCACGTGCGAGTGCATGGGTCCAAACAACGTCAAGTGCACACCGAAGGAATGCCCAGAGGCCGTGCGTCCAACCTGCCCAGGGGGTCGGGAGCCTACCGAGGTCCGGGATGCGGACGGTTGCTGCTCAACATGGTCGTGCGACTGTAAGTATTATCGTTTTTGTAGAGTTTGAAGATTTTATGAAAATATTAATAGCAAACTTTTGTGTTTTCAGAAATTCTATCAAAATTTTGACTGGTCTCATCTTAATCTTGATTATGATTATCTGTCAGAGCAAAGGCCACCAATAGACTTTCCTAAATATGGGAATTGTGTTACAAAAAAGTGTTCGAAAGTCATCTAAATTGAGTTTTAGACCTTTTAGATAAGTGTCCATTTCGTCCAAAATTAGAAAATCAGATGAAATCTGTATACATCACAAAACATGGTTGAGCGTCTGTATTTTTGTCACCAAGAAAAAGACTAAAATCCTTAGCTATAACACCCAGCTCAAAAACTTTTCCCAAGCAAAATACATTTTTTTGAGAATATAATGTACTTAAACTGTGCGCACTACTGGCCTTTGCCCTGAAGTGGGTAATGATTTTTTTACCTATTTTTCTCTCAGGCTATTGCAGTGGCTTCAGCTCACGCTTCACCACCTTCGATGGCACATGCTATGACTTCGATGGCAAGTGCACCTACGTGCTGGCCAGGTCCAGGAACTACGACTTTGAAATTACCATTGATGCCAACAAGGCCATCAACGTTAACTACAGGTCACAGAGAACGGCTGTTGGAGGCGCTGACTACCCATGTGTATGTATTCCTAAGTATTGTACTTTCATGGTCACTTTTTTTAAAGTGACCATGAAAGATTGCAGATAGATCCTACAGACCGGTGCAATGGCCAAGTGGGTAGAGCGTTAGCCTTGCATTCGATTCGCTGTGAGTTTGATCCCTGGCCGAGTCATATTCTAAATGGTACATACTGTTTTCCTTGCTTAGCGCTCAGCAACAGTACCAGTGCACATGGAATAGTCTCCTGTTGTAGTGATTGCACTGCTGTGTGACCCAAGGGCTATTGAAACGAAGATGGGAGTCACCCTATCCACCACCTGGTGCAGGAAGGGTTTTCATTCAATAAGAAAATGATTGCCATAAGCTGCTGAGGTTAGATTTCTATGAATTGACTGTATAATAGTAAATGTCTGTGCAGCGGTCATTCAGTATCATTTCTGTCAATAAGTCGTGTTTGCCAATCAGGTCATCCATTCATGTCTCTAAACCATTACACAGTTGCATCATAGATTCACACATTTTCCCCTTATATTTCAGGTGAGCTCCGGTGGCAACAGAGTTGATCTGAGACAGAATCGTCTGTTGAGCTTCGACAGTGAAGCCTACGCCGGCTACACTGGTGGACAGATTGTGTTTGTGGTGCGCAATATTGGCCTGGAGGTGCGTGTGGACCCATGTTACAACACCTTCAGCATCAAGGTGCCAGCTGGAACCTACTTCGACCAGACGGAGGGCTTGTGTGGTATGTCATGCTTCCAATATTGTGATGTTGTCTTTACCCCAGTTACACATCAATTCTTAGTTTTGATATCAATACCAGTTCAACTTGAAACTACTTGAAACGTCTGACAGTTTTCAAAATCAGTTGCTTGAGTAGAAAGCCCTTGTGTAGGTCGTTAATCTGGATGTCTAACCTTCATCCACGTACCCGCAATGTTGTAGATCAGTAGATCAGGATTTGCTAATGTGGCAGATGTGACCACCAGCAGGATTTTAGCTCTTGTCCGTGGTATCAGTTGTATTTTAGTGCAATTAGTTGATCAGATGTGATAAATTGTAGTTTAGTACCATTAAAATAAATATATGAACGTGCGTGCTACGCCGAAGGGCGGTTATACCGGCTATATTGATACAGATACAGGTGAATTCTAATGCCCCCCATTTTCTGCTTGTTTCAGGTACATGCAACAGCAATGCAGCTGATGACTTCTCCCTGCGTAACCGCATCGTGACGTCATCCGTGACCACATTTGGCAATGACTGGCAGGTGAACGTTGATGACGTCGACTGCCGCCCACCAGCCGTGCCCACCAGTCCGCCCGAGTGTGAGAACGAACTGACCAGGTCCTGTGAGACCATCCTGTCTGGTGGCTTCAAGAGCTGCCACGACTTCGTCAACCCTGAGTCGTACTATCAGGTGAATACATTTTTTGTGTATGCTACATTCGATAATAGTTTGGGGCTTCAGTTAGGTCAATACATCCGATGATAGATTGGAGTTACCGTGAGGTCACTACATTCGAAGATAGTTTGGAGGTACAGAGGGCACAACATTCGAGGACAGTTTGGAGTTACCGTGAGCTCAGAACATTCGAGGATAGTTTGGGGCTACAGTGAGGTTACTGTGCTAGGCCCTTACATTTCATTATATGTCATTGCAACTTTGAATCGTAAATTTGTTCCATTTTCTGTCCTAGATCCTGTATTATGAGCATTGTTCCCAGATCTTGATAATTTTATGACCGTACTTTATCGATAAATTATCGATAATGGCTTGTTCTTTGTAAAGGCTTGCATCAACGAGGTTTGCAGCAAGAGCTGGAAGACTGAGGACGGTTGGAGCAAGTGCCCATCTTGCACTGCCATTGCAGCCTATGCTGCCGAGTGTCGCAAGTGTGGAAGCTGCGTGGACTGGAGAAGGCCAGACTTCTGCCGTATGTTGTGTTTTCTGTTCAGTTTAAAAACATTTTCGTACTAATGTCACATTTGGTACTAGATGCGAAATCCTCAATCTATAGTCAAGGCAATTGAATTCTCTTTTGAACGCTCAAATTTAAGATGACATCATCAGGGTGATAAACGTTTCACTGTTTCTCACTTGTCTCCAGCATACACGTGTGAGAGCGGGTTTGAGTACAACCACTGCGGCCAGATTAACCAGCAGACATGTGATGGCAACCTGATGCCAGCTGACCTCATCAAGGACACCTACCCTGTGGAGGGCTGCTTCTGTCCTGCTGGAAAGGTCCTCCAGGGCAACACTTGTGTCGTACCTGAGGACTGCCGTAAGTCTTAACCTGTGCTGTTGAATTTTGCACGGAAACGAATTCACTGGTCTCATATGAATATTCTTGTTGCATCATCTATTTTGTTGATCACATCTATTTTCTGTATTTTACAGCTGTGTGCAAGGACAGTTCTGGCAATGGAAGGAAGGTGAGTGTATCTGATTGACCAAAATTGTAACGTTTCAGTCTAGATATCTAGACATCGCTCTTTGAAAGCACGGTACTTCTCTGCTTGATATCATAAAATCTGTTCTAATCTTAGATGGGAGAAGTCTGGAGGGATGCTACCGATAGGTGCAAGATGTGCCAGTGCACTGCGCCAGACTGTGTGACCTGCTCCTCCCTGCGCCGCGAGCTGCCGGCCCCCAGCTGCCCAGACGGTACCCTGGAGGAAGTACAGCTCGGCTGCATCACCAAATACGAGTGCAGGACAAGTATGGATGCTCAAGGAGCACTTCAATCTTCAGCTCCCTGTAGTTCTTCCGTCCAACCTGATTATGAATGACCACAAATTTCTTTCCAACTGAATGCTTTACTGTCATACAGTATGTAAAAAGATGTAACATATCACTACCTCATTTCGTCTTTAGGGCAGTGTGGCCCATGCTCAGAGCCACAGTCCATCGAATGCCAGCCATTTGAGGATGTTCAATCAACACCCATTGACGAATGCTGTAACCATCTTGAGTGTGGTAAGTATGATGTAGCTAGTTTGTTCATTTCTATCTTTTAAACAGTTCTTTAAGTTAAAACTAATTGTTGCCTACAAGGATTACATGTGTATTTGTATAGCATCATAATGAAATATTGTATCTTGCAATTGAAGATAAAATGTACGTCATGTAAGACTTATCAAAATCAATTATGGAAATCGCCAGGGAAAAATAACGATGTCAACTTTGTTGTCTACAGTATGCAACCCAGCCAACTGTCCATCTGTGTCCATCCCATTCTGCGACACATGTGAGAAGCTGGTCACTATCAATGAGGGCAGCTGCTGTCCAATTAAGCAATGTGGTAAGTTGGCAAGCAAGTAAGCAAGCAATTTGTCCTCTTATGACAACAGTGTAAATGATGTAAAATTATGTACAATTATGTACTTTACCAGTGTCAGCGGCACGGTTGGGCCAATCTAGCCCCATGCTCACAATGTAGTTAATTGCTGATACTGTAAGAAGGGCTTGATAGTAACTGTTATCAATTTTTTTAACTAAACATGTTGTTGATATGATCATACAGTGTGTGACACAGAGGAATGTCCACCGACCGCCGAGCCCGTGTGCGCTCGTGGAGAAGTGGCCATCAAGACAGACGGCAAATGTTCATCAAGCTGGTCTTGTGGTAAGAACAACAATGTCAGATTCCTTCTAGGGAGTGTCAAGCATTGGATCAGTGCATTATATTATCAAGTAAATACTAATGCTAAGGTCACAACAGTGGTAAGGGACCGCATGGGCAGCTTTGTGGAACGAATAGTATAATGTGAAATAGAATGATGTAAAAGACAATAAAGTTTTTGAAAATGATTACTTTTTGTGTATATTCTTGATAAGAATATCTAATTTTTCTGTTCATGCAAACATCCCCTCTTGTGGCCTTAGCATTACCTAGCTGCAGGTTCAACATTTATTCATCATTCAAGAGTGATTCCCTCTGACCTATACTTTTACCCTTCCAGTTTGCCGGAGGGAGACATGCACCACCAGTGTTCCAGTCTGCGGATATGGAGAGGAGACTGAGTGTGTTGATCCTGATGCCTGTTGCCCAGAATACCGCTGCGGTGAGAAATGACATTTCATGCATCATTAACATGTATTCTTCGTTTTGTGATACTACTTTGATCCTGGTGTCTGGGTTGTAAGAGATATATATGATAATGGAGTGTCTTGACAGAGCGGAGTATCAGTTGATATTTTCGGTTGATTTGAAGACTTCCAATGCAATTTCAGGGCGGAAAACAAAAAAAATACTCTGGATGATGAAATCTGTCTGATATTGACATTTACTGCCATTCAATGACACATTTTTATCATCATTTTAATACTTAAAGCATTCTAGAATAACCCCAAAACAAGCTATATCTCGTGGCATTTTTGCCTCAGAGATATCAGTATGATATGGAACAGAGTCTATTCAACTTACTACATTAACATTTAAAGAATTCCTGGAAAATTGACCTTGAAAATCCAGTACTTGCCGCCCTAAAAATGCATCAGGTGCCTTTAAGGCTTTACAATTAGGAAGCTTTGTTTTGGCAAAGGCAATGAGCTCCCTGTGTATTGATAATGAATTTTTCATAAATGACGTTCTTGCACCACAGTGTGTCGCCCGGAGAACTGCCCATCACTGACATGTGCTGATGGATACAAGCAAGTGAAGGGTAGCTGCTGCTCATCCTGTGGTAAGTTTGACGTTTGAGGTTTTACTAGAAATCCATTAGACTTCCTGGATTCATAAAAACACAGAATGTGTGTCTATCACAAAATAACAATAAAACTACACGTAAATTGTACACGTATTAGACTTTGACACGCGCACAAAACTACAGAGCAACCTTTTAAGATCGCTTTGCAATGCAGTCAGTTACAATGACACTTGTAAGCTCATGAGTTTGTGGTATTTTAGTGTTCAAACACGCTTCAAACATATTGTTATGAATACTGAAATGACTCCACCTGTTCGATTCCCCCATGTTAGAGTGGCTATCAACCCATTCTAGCTTTTGCCAACACAGTCAGTTGTACCTGATATAAGTACAACGGTACCGTACTTATATCAGGTAAACCGTTAGTTGTTATATTACTGAAAGATAAGTCTATGTTAGAGTTAAAGAAGTGAAACTCATTGAGAATTACGTTTTTTAACTCGGCACGTTTTTCTCGAAATATTTCTATCAGAATGTGACGAGAGTCAGTGCACTGTGCCAGAGCCCGTGTCCTGTGACTTCTCCAAGGGCTACACTCTACAGAAGACCGGCAGGAAGCTCCGTGCTCCCGGCGCCGCTGACTGCTGTCCTGAACACGAGGAACAGATCTGTGGTATGTACAGCATGTAGACGTCCTTCATGTTGATGTAGATTTTCTGCCAGGACAGATGAGAGCGGCGATGATGATGATGAAATACTGTAAATAATGAAGTAACAGTACGTATACTTTGCGATCAGAAATCTTCAGATGTGCCATCCTGCCCATGTGCAATCCTGGTTAGAATAATTCCAATATTTTCTGCACAGTCTGTGAGCCGTCCACATGCAGTCCTGTTGAGCGACCTACTTGCACTGGATACCAGATGTGTGTGCAAACTAATGCAGGCGAATGTTGCCCAGAGTACAGCTGTGGTAAGATACCCACTTTGCTTTTGACGTCAGGGGAATACTAATGTTGGCGTCTTCTCAAGAAGCTATATTTTATCATATTTTGAGAACAATCCATTGAGGACCACAGAAATATTAGCTAACAGAGATGTCAAACTAAATTGTGGATCCTAAGAAAGTCAACATGATCATATGATGAACAACATTTTATGGGCAAAGTTTCTAGCACTGAATGCTACTCACAGACCTTCACTATACAAAACCAATGACTTGATGTCATTGAAATCGTAACCTCTGCATGTATTTCAGTAAAAGAGAGCATTAATTTCTACTGATATGTATGTTTCCTGCCTCGACAACAGTTTGTGACAAGAACAAGTGCCCTGAACAGCGGGAATGCCGCTCATACGAAAGCCGAGTTGAAGTCGGCTTCTTCGATCCTGACACATGCTGCTGCCCCAAGTTCGAGTGCAGAACATGTATGTACTTGACCTTCTTACTCTCTTTCCATTTCCATTGAAAAGGGTCTGATAAATTGCACTAACATTGTGTCTTTTCAACTGAAATGTCAGTAATGTACAACTAAATGCTGAAGGTTGACTGTCATTTGTTTTCCCCTATTCTCCAGCTGGTTGTGTGGACTCTGAGGATAACAGGCTTGCTGTAAGTACAATTGAGTCATCAGCTCATTTGAGCTCGTTAATGTATCTTGATGTCAGTAGAGTAAGTCTATTAGTACTTATTGCTGAATTGAATAAAACATTAACATCATCAAATTGCACTAAAAAGTGGTGATAAAAACTTATACATTCGACCGAACGTTAACTACCATAATACGATAATTATAGCGATAATTTTCAAAGTTTGGTATTCTACATGTACTACCACGGAAAAACGATAAGACAAATCATCAAGGTGGGGCAGCTGTTATTTACTAAGGCTATTACATCAAGCATTTAAAACACTCACTATATATGCCTTAACTTTCATTTTGTTTGCATGACTTGCCAGGTTGGACACACGTACACTCCCTCCGACGCACCGTGCTCCATCTGTGAGTGCATGTCTGACGGAAATATCCGCTGCCGCCCGAAGAACTGCCCTGTTGCCGAGATCCCATCATGCCCTGTGGGACAGGAAGCCGTCTCCATCCCCAGTGCCGATGGCTGCTGCAAGGAGTGGGTCTGTGATGGTGAGGAAACCTTAGTGTTCGCTCCTTGGAGAACTTTGGTCGGGCTTAGGAAAAATGTTTTTTTTTTTCAGTTATCCATCCATGCCTAGCAAACCCTCCCCCGTGAACCTTATAATGGGGGTCGGCCGACCACGAGAGACATACAATTTTCGATCTGACTGTATAGTGGTGACTACCTGTAATTAGTGTAAACTGGACCGAATCAGAGCCTTTCGGTTCAAGCCAAAAAAAATAAACTCGATGGCTTGGTACTGGACTTACACAAAAAAACTAGTATGCAAGTCTCATTTCACACTCCACTTTTCTTGTACAAATCCTTCCATGGATCGTACAATCTGCGCTGAAAAAAAAACATAATTTGGAACATTTAAGCTAAAATCTAAACAAAATTATAGCCTGGTACCGATCCTAATTTTCAGGACTGCACTAGAAAACGTAACATTAATTTCCTAAGTCTTAGAGCTGGAATGCTATACGATATAATACATGTATGGAAATAAAAAATGCATTGTTTTATTCTGTACCACAGACAAGGTGTGTCATGTTGCCGTTGTGGAGCCTGCCTTCCTGGAGGTTGGAAACTGCCGCAGCGTGATGGCCGTGAACGTGACCAAGTGTGAGGGCAAGTGCACCTCCCAGTCGCTCTACTCAGCTGCAGCCAACAACTACGAGAAGCAGTGCTCTTGCTGCTCGGCTGTTCAGGTACATACATCTGCTTGTGAACCCGTAAATTCACCTAAAACAACATCAGGTACAGGATAAACAGCATCAAAATGTCGTTGTTTTTATTACTGCAGTATGACGCATGCTCTCACAAGAGTTCACACTGTATTTGTATTAGTAGGACCTATCTTACTTTTTTCTAGTTATCAATAGTTGCTAAATCATATATTTTTGACTTAGCATGAAAGTTCATCTGTGTCGGTGCAATTCATTATGAAATTAAACTTTATCTCCAACACTGGAATGAATCGGGACGTACCCCAACCTTGATCGAGAAATGGACCCATCTACTCTTGGAACGTGTCATATATTTTTGTCTCAGATTACTAATGTTGAAGTTGCTAGTATCACTCACAAGGCTGTGTTCTCTTGTCCTTACAGACAACTCGCCGTGCTGTGGAGATGGTTTGCCAGGATGGCAGCAACAAGGTCCACTACATGGATATCGTCATCAACTGTGGCTGTAACGCCTCCCAGTGCGAGCCTTCCTCAGCCGAGCCCGGCATGTAACTTCCAACATCACCCAACATACACAACGTTGAACAATGACCAGGAACGAATACGAACTGAACCCGTGCACAACTTCATTCTTTCGAGCGTTTGTTAACATCACCAAGCAACCTATACTGCGATACGCCATGATTAAAGGATGAGGTTGTGGTTTAGTCTAGATTCCCACCAACTGTAGATGCAGGACAAGATAGCTAGAGATGAATTATTGTTACAGCATCGTAGATGCTGCTTCTGGACGGATCATGTGATGTGTGTTACACCATCGTTTGATTTCATGTGACGGATATGATGTCGTTGGTGAGGAATTAAAGAAAAGCAAACCCCACGTTACTGTCTGGTGTCTTTTTTTTTATGTTTACCGAAGGAAACATATTATATTTGCTCTATTTCCTCTTCCTCCTCCTCCTCCTCCTCCTCCTCCTCTTCCGTTCCAAACACCTAAAAAACGTCCATATTTTCGTAATTAGAGCTTGGAGGAAAATGAAATTCAGCATGCTAGTAGGTTGATACGTTAGACATTGAACCTTGGTCATTTTGGCCA